GTGGTCTGGGTGCCTAGAGTGGTCCTTTAAAGTCCCCTAACAGTTTCTGCATTATGACTGGTAACCATTAATGGAATACCTAAACATTGATAGGACATGCTGTGATTACCTTGCATGTGCCCTGCATCTCAGTGCTTCTCTATGAGAAGTATCAGAATGGCCAGGTAATTGTCAGAATTGATGGTCTCCAGGTGGGCTTAGCAGAGTTGTGGCAGGGAAAAAAAATCTCTCCTCTGGATTAGAGTTAAGTAACTTGTTTGCAGAAAAAGGGGGGTTAAAATGCTGCAGTGTCCCTTTAATGCATGCAACCAATTTTAAAGGGAAACTATAGGCTAGGAATACAAAATTGTATTCCTAGTACTATTGTACCCTATAGTGCCCTCCTCACCCCCAGGAGAAAGATAAAAACCCTTAATTTGCTTACCTGATTATAGCACTGATGTTTGTCAGCGCTGGGTCAGGCTCCACCTCCGTGAAGTCGGGGTTTTAGCGGACACAGGATGTCCTCATGCATAGCGTGAGGATGTCTAGCATAAGTTAGGCGACCAAAAGTCGCCTAACATCCCAGTAGCAACTCTTGTGGCCGTCTAGTAGACACCTGCTAGAGGTGGAATTAAACCTGCAACGTAATTGTTGCAGTTTCTCAATAACCTAAATTATTACAATTGCAGGGTTAAACTGACAGGGACAGCGCACCCAGACCACTTCAATAAGCAGAAGTGGTCTGGGTGCCTATAGTGTCCCTTCAACTCTACTTGTTAATCCTATTGTATAGAGATTGTGCGGGTGCTATGACCAATCAGCCTCTGATCAGTGTCAATTTCCAGCATTACTACTTGTGCAGGTTTAAGAAGAGCTTCACTACTGCTTGGCCAACTGATTGTATAATTCCTTTCTAGTGTATATTTCCTTAGAATACTATTCAACAAAAGGTGCAATTTGGACTTATCTCCGGTTATCGTTATCAGTGGACTTTAGTTTGTTACTAAGCACTCTGGATTACTTATGATATCCTCAAGCTGTCATCAGGCTGTCATGGCATGATATAAATTAACAATTTTCATTGTCAGTCTTTATTAATCCATAGGAAGTCCCAACTTTGTAATTAACATCAGGTGCATTGCTTGGTGGCAAAATAACCATGGGTAAATTTAATGGCCACTCACACACATCTATTGACTTAAAGGGACACTATAGTCACCAGAACAACTACAGCTTAATGTAGTTGTTCTGGTGAGTAGAATAACTCCCTTCAGGCATTTTCATGTAAACACTGCCTTTTTCATGTAAACACTGCCCTTAGATGGCCACTAGAGGAGCTTCCTGGCTCAGGGCTGCACAGTAAGCACCCCTGCCGTTCAGCGCGTTCAGCGTGGGGATGCTGAATTTTCCTCATAGAGATACATTGATTCAATGCATCTCTATGAGGAGGTGCTGATTGGCCAAAACGGTGTTTGGCCCCACCCCCTTGCAGATTTTAGCCAATCCAATGCTTTCCCCTCTAGTATGGGTAGCTAGGAACCCTGACTGTTTTAAAACTGCTCTATATAGTTGAACATTAAATGGAGGAACAGTGCCAGGGACCTACAGGCACTATAACCAATTAAAATGGACACCATAGGCACCCAGACCACTTCAGCTCCTGACTCCCTTAGTCCTGCAATTTAAAACACTGCAGTGAACATCCCTCATTAATCAAGGTTACCATGCATGGCACAAGAGAGTACTTTTTATGAGAAGATTGGTCAGGAATTTCAGATTTTGTATAACAATTTTAAATGACCTTGTAGTAGAGCTATGACAGGGTCCATAACATTGGTGTAATTATGTGATTTTTTTAAAATTGGATGTACCACAGTTTGCCTAGAAGTGGTCAGTTACTCTAGCCAATAATTTGTAGTTTGTTTTACTATAGTCCATGACATATACAAAGAAGGTAAATCCAGAGACTTCTTGCAATGTGGTTAGAGACGCCAACAGATGTTTAAATCAGTATCACTTGAGCCGTTGAGATATTTTCAGTATTTTAGACCCTATTATAAAAACGGTATGTGCACGTTGAAAATGTTAAACAAATACTTAAAATGTATACGTTTTCTACCAATTTGGAAATCGATAGGGTAGTATTTTTATTCAACAGGCACTAAACATGGCACTGGCACTTTTGTTTTCCCTATGAGCACCATTGGTGTCAGATGAACATGCACCCTGCTGATCATTTTTGATCCTGGCAGTGGATTTGGATGTTGTTTTGAATATTTTCTTTATAAATTTAAATCGGCTTTGCATTTTAGTAGCCTATTTACTGTACACTTGCAGACAGGACTATTAAAACATTCTGCGTTGGTTTACATCTGTGTCAAACTAATTTAACATTAAATTATAATGTTAATAATATTATACACAGTATCATTATTCAGAAAAGCAAAATTATTACAGTGACCGTTGGATGTTGTAACAGTGTGGCCAGACCCACAACAATATAACTGCATCCTTGCTATTGCTTGTATGAAGCAGTGATCCTCATCCTTGATTTTGTTCCCTAACATAATGTAGGTCATAGTGATTCTCTCTTATTCACTAAAGTGAGAATTCAAGGTGAATTCAAAATTCAATATAAAATAGCCAAACTTTAAATATTAGCTACCTATGCTTCCAGTTTGACTAAATTGGCATTAAATTTGAAATTCACTTTGAATTCTCACTTTAGTGAATAATAATGGTCTGTGGATTATAAATCCCATCAGTCTCACTCAGCGTTACTAGATCATATGGAAAATAGAGTTCAAAACATTTTGAGGTGTACTTGGAGGTCTAATGACTACTAAAACTATGTACCCCCCTAAAATTAATGTCCCCATTAAAGGCATACCATAGTGCTAGGAATACAAAACTTATTCCTAGCATTATAGCTGCTCCCCCCTTACAGTACAGGGCCGTCTCTAGCATCGATCTCCGCTGGGTCGGGGCTCTGCCTCCTCCAACCTCAACCGACGGTTTGGGGACGAGGGGTAATGAGCATGTGCGGCAAGCGCATTAGGCCCTCCCCATAGGAAGCATTGCTTTCCTATGAGAATTTTACGAACGCTGGATGTCTTCATGCAGAGTGTGAGCATGTCCAGCATCAGTTAGGATGGGGACATTGCACCCAGACCTCTTCAGTGAGATGAAGGGATCTGGGTGCCTGTAGTGTCACTTTAAAATATTTGCTCTTATGAATGCCATTGTAAATTGGCTTCAAATGTATTATCACAGTGCAATTAAAGAGTCACCCAAAATATTATTGACACTATGAACTTGCTATTTTAAGAGGGAAATCTTACTAGTTCATCGACCATATAGAATCCAGCACTTTGAAGTATATGTTGCAATAATAATAATAATGGTATATGTTACATGTGAGCACAGTGCAGAGGGCCACTGACATTACAGGTACAGTAATGACAAACATCTACTGATCACTGAAACAGACCTGTCATGTTGAACTCAGCTGACCCCCCCCCCCCACCCCAGCTGCCTATCCCTTAGTAACACAGTGACAAATCTATAGAACAATGACAAAAGTTACTGGTTTTTACTAGCAAACACCCAACAGAAAACACTCACAACAAACCAAACAAACATTCTCAGTGGTAAGAATGCCATATACTGGGAGAGGCTCTGCAATAGGCATAAAATAAATCATGTGAAACCATGACAAATATAACACCCGCACACGTGTATATGCATGACTAGCTAAGTATGTATACACAGTACTGCAACATTGCGACTTAGTATCACGAATACATAATAAAAACCAACAGGGAAAAACAAGGTCACATAGCCCACAGAGTCTTGACTTAGACATAAACAACCAACTGATAGGCATTGTAAGTCAGTGGCATTACAGGCACAGGAGATCCCAGCAAGCCCAACTTACTAAGAGCACGGTTAGAGGGCATGTAGGTGAGACTTACCTTCTCACTGTAGCCTTGCTCACTCTCCCCAGCTCCTCTTCTCCTTAGCTCAGCCATGAGTCTGCAGTAAGCAGGGCACAGGACGGGGGGAGGATTAGCTGCAGGAGATGCAGGTGAGAGGGGGTAGAGATCACAGGGATCTTGCAGGAGGTACTCACTCTCCACCCGGAAGCATGAGAAGCAAGGAACTCCTGTTAGTATTCTGTTATTATTGATATTCAGGGTGAGCCTCCCTCCCCCCTTGCTATGTGGTTATTGTTGGGATCAGTCCAAAAGGTGTGGATGGGAAGCTGCTGCTCCCCTGTTTGCAGTTCCCAAGCAGCACAAGCTGTATTAGTAATGTAAGTAAGGCTTGTACTGTGAGCTGCTGGAGGTGACTGTCTGTATACTTCAGCCCTCCTCCCCCTGTGACAAGACACAGAGGGAGGAGATAGAGAAAAGAGCAAGGGTGAGAGGAGAGAAGAGGGAGGGATTGGAGATGGTCACGATCAAAGTTACAGAATAACACATGACAGAATCTAGAACTCCAGATCAGGGGTTCGGAATTTGAGGAGTAAACTGCAGGACATGTTAAAATCGGGTGGAGAGTAGAAGAGAGGAAAGTAATAAACGGAGGAAATTGAAGAAAACAGGAGAGCTGCGTTTGGTGTAGCTAATTAAATCGGAAAGAGGTAGAGGACACATCTATGGGGATTATTTACTAAACGGTTAAAGGAGCAACTTTAAATTGGGTCAGAGTAGTTGACTTATTTCAGCTTTCATCCTCAGTGTTGGACTTGTGTTAATTCACCACAGCTTACAATTTAGAGAAGGGGTTTTGGTTGCCAGACACTGAATTGTAGTGAGTTGAAAACTGAATTGCAAAATGTAGGCCTAGTTTGGGATTTTTCTCCAACTCCCTCTACAGTCTCAGCAATGCAATTTTAGCCTAAATATTACAATTTTGTTTTCATTTCACTGATATTCACTGTTTAGTGAATGAACCCTGCAGTTCTACAAGGCTGCCATTAAAAATGTTAAACCTTCATTCAAACCAATTGGCCTGGCCTTTCCCCGGGAAACACACAATTACACGCAGATGCATTTAGGGGTTTATTTAATAAATGCAAAATTGTGCTGAATTGAAAACGAAATTGGAAAATTTATGCTACATAGCCAAGCTGGGACTATAGCAGAGTCTAATATTTCTTTCATATCAGCTATTTGAGCCTAAATATTGTAATTCAGTGTTTAGTGAATACTCCCAGTATGTTAGTCATTTAAAGGGAAACTAAAGTGCCAGATAAACAGACTTGTTTTCCTGGCACTGTAGCTTCCTCCCCGTGTTACTTACCTCGGTCCAGCGCCCACGCTCCTACCCCATTGGCGGGGGAAAGACCTAATGTGCATGCACGGCAATGGCTGCGCTTGCATTACTATTTCCCCATAGCAAAGCATTATGGGGGAGACCTAATGTGCATGTGCAGCAATGACCGCGCTCGCATTAGGATTTCCCCCATAAAAAGCATTATTCAATGCTTTTCTATGGGGATTCCGGTCACACTGGGAGACCTCATGCATAGTGTGAGGATGTCAAGCGTTGTTTAGGTGACCAAAAGTTGCCTATCCACCTGATAGTCCCTCTAGTGACTGCTGGTAGACAGCCACCAGAGGAGGAGTTAACCCTAGCAGGTAATTATTGCAGTTGATAAAAACTACATGCTTAGGGTCAATGAGCTGAAGTGGTTTGGGTGCCTACAGTGTCCCTTTAAGTTACAATGGTCAAAATGTCAAAGTGAATTTCCAATTCACACTAGAATAAAATCTCAGAGTTAACTATGTTTTTGTTTAGGTTATTATGGACTAAAATATGAAATTCACTTTGAATTCTCACTTTAGTGAATGACAGTGACAGACACACACAGATACATATTCACATAATCACTCAAATAACAAGTCATAAAACAATCTCAGATTAACACACAGACACACTGCTGGATTTACATAAGCAAATATGAATTCCTAGACACATGATGACACAAATTCATACTCGTAGACAAAAATTTACAGATGGACAATGCTAGAAACACATACTCATGGACAAATGTTGAAATTAATATATTTTAACCACCTTGCCTAGCTAATACCTGCAGAGCAGTGTTAATTTGGGCAGCAAATTTTTCTATTTAGTTTTAGCCATAGTCTTTTGACTTTAGTCGTATATTAGTCATCTGAATAGTTTAAGATTTAGTCTAGTTTCAGTTGACTAAATCGCCAGTAGATTTTAGCCAACACAACTAAAATCTAATGTGTTTAGTTAAAGCCTCTATCGGTCTCTTTTACCCCTTCCCCAGCCCTCTGTGTCTCTTTGTGTCCTCTCAGCCCCTCTAGGTGTTTCTCTCCAAAGCCCTGGTCTGTCAACCCCTCTGTGCAGTGTTAATTTTGGCGGCAAATTTCAATTTAGTTTTAGTCCGTCTTTTGACTAAAAAACCATTTATTTTAGACATATTTTAGTCTTCTGAATTGTTTTAGTTTTAGTCAACTAAAATTGTAAGTTGACAAAATTAATACTGCTTCAGAGAAGCATTCATAACATTGCAAGTGTTCCCTTCTCTCCAATGTTATTACTGCGATGACATCATATCCTTCAGGAGCTGATGCAGTCTAAGGAAACAGTCTAGTAATGGAACTGCTCACTTATAGAGTTTCAGTGCATTTCTCTTAGAGGACATATTTATATCTACCCAACCGGACTGCAGAGTATTACAATAACTTAAAGGAACACTATAGTGTATTCCTGACACTATAGGTGTGAAAACACTGTTTAGGTTTATGCCCCTCCCCTTTCCTCCTGTGAAAAAGATATTTTACTTACTCTTTACCCATTCCCAGTGCCGCACAGGTCTTGTCACGGTTGGCCTAGTCCACACACTACCTCCTTGAAAGCACTGGGAGATTATAGCGCATTCCCTGCAAAATGCCGCACTATGTCAGTCAGCATCTCTATGGAGAAAGTTTACTCTGAGCAGTGTTTACATTAAAAAGCCTGCAATGACATACTATACACACCGGAACTACAACATTAAGCTGTACTTGTTCTGGTGACTATAATGTCAATTTAAACACACCTAAGTGCTTGTCCAAGCACTTTACCTGCCTCTACATTTTAAAGGGATCTTTGATCGAGACAGCTGATATCATATACAGAGTAAAATAATAATATTGGTGGGGCTAATTATGGAATTTTAAAGTATTGTAAGCTAATTATGGAAATTTAAAGTATTGTAAGCTAATTTGAACAAGGCACTCTTCACCTCTTGCGTCTGTCACCTTTTTTTCTGTCAATTACCATTGTATAAATTACCGTTGTATAAAGTGTAAAGGAGTGAAGAAACTAGAGACGCTGTATAAATGTTTATAATAATATAATAATATTGAACAGGATGGAAGATGGAACAATAGATGAGTTCGAGTTTTGGCCTGTTTGTTATCCTTTGGCAATTGTCAGACAACTCCCAGGATAATATTTTCCAATGTATCATTTGTATTCGTTCTTTCATTTTAACAAAAAAAGTAATACATCAAATACAATAAAATACATACACAGAGCACGAAACATAGTCACATTGTTGTTATTATGTGCACAGTACCCACTTGCCGTGATGATCATTTGACTCTACTCATGATAGCTCAATGAGATATGCATTGTACAAATACCTCAAATTACGTCAATTAACTCTTCAATCAGAGCCTATATCTACATAATTGTGACATAATTAAAGGGTAGAGCATTCACTCAAGGAGAGGAAAAAACTAAGTCTGGGTGAAAAGCCTAGCATCTCCCCTATTGCTCTACATTTACTAATTATGATCGTGTTCCTGTGTATATTCCAACATAAACTATGAAACTTAACTCAAGGTGGGGTGGTTAAGGAAGGATGGGGAGGTGGGGAAAACTTTATTGGGGTAAGTACTCCTGCGTCACATGTACTCCACAATAAACGTAAGCTACGTCCTGTTTCTTGTTACACTTTCCCTATACTCTATCCAGTCCTGCCACATTTGTTCATGTGTGTTCTCATAGTAACACGCTGGTTCTCCTAAAATAGCAGTAGGATGTTTGTCCATTGATATAATGTAGGTAATTTTCATTTGAAGGTAATTTGACTGTTTTGGTAATTTGAAGTTTTTTGGCCAACAATTACCCTGCTTTATTGCAATGGATATAATATTTAGTTTTTAAAGCTCTCATTTGTTTGCCTGTATCCGCTAGGGCCAGGTGATCTAGTTCATTCCTTATTTCAGCTATTTGACTGCCAAGTGACTTAAGGGGCTTACATTTTTTGGAGCTTCTATTTGAGCTAAGTCCCGAAGGAGCCGCAACCAAGTCGCACACACTTTCTTTTTTACAGCTGGCCCCTAGTTTAATTAAAGTACCCTTGATGACCGCTTTCTGCGCCAACCATAAGTAGATTAGTAGACATCCCATCTCGTCCGTATATTGTGTGTCCAATTGGAAGACCCAACCTGCTTGAATTAGTATAGATACCCCTTTAGATTTACTAGGTGAGTATGCATGATACGCCTGTGGGTAACATTTGGATCGTAAGTTAGGGGGGTATTGAGAGCATAAGTGCGTCTCTTGTAAGCAGATTACTGCTGCCTTGGACTTTCACATCTCCTGGTACACAAACCTTCTTTTATGCAGATTATTAAGTCCGTTAACATTCATAGAAAATATTCTAAAGGATGTGTCCATGACTTATTATTAAGTAGTATCCTGTGTTCTTGTGTTTTGATATGCCAATAGGATTTTGGTTAAGCTAGAGCTGGAGAGGGCATCCGCGGCCTGTGCAAAGGTTATTATTTGGCACTCCAGTTTGGGGGAATAAGAGGCAACATCACCAGATCCTTGCTCTCCATAATTGCGTGTACAGTACAAAAATCTCTGAATCACATTTGTCACACCTGGGAGGGGAAGGAAGTAGATTAAGGGGAACAACCATTGAAAAAGAAAATAAATAAAAACTAAATAAAAATATTTACACTCCCTTTATGAGAAGGGTAATATAGTGGCCAGACCAGGGAGCCAAGTGTTCCCTGTATAGGCCTGCAGGGGTGAGTAGAGAGGCCCACTCATGGCGAGGCCCTGGATAGCAGAACTTGTAATGTAAGAACCTCCACTTAGTGTTAATTCTACAATATTACCGTAAGACCACACCATTAATTAGGTAAAAGTAATGCGCTAGTCATTAATAAACCACTCAGGTGATCTAGAACCTCTGCTGTTCAGGTTAGTGCCTGTCCTGTAGAATAGCCTAAACATTTTTTATTTATTTTTTCCATTTCATATATATATATATACACACACATATATATACACACACATATATATACACACACACACTCCCCTCCCTTTTTCATTTTAGGTTATTATCAGCATAGCTCACTATGTTAGAGGGAGGTTTACTACCAACCAAGCGTGCAACAGTAGGTGCATCCCTGATGTACCAAAGTAATCAGATGCTTATAGCACAAAGCGTAAAAGACACTGGGATGGACACCGGAAGGTATACTAGATCTATGGCTTCAACTAGGGGTTCAAGTTGATTGTCAGCAAGGGTCACTCCGGGTGTCAGTAGGTTCCCTCATTTCACTGGCACTGTAGTTCCCTGTTTAGGCAGATTCATTGAGTAGCTTGCCCCATGACCCGGCAATGTTGTCAGACCCCATTCATTCAGCTTCTTGATTCCATCCTCTGGTTCCAGGATAGAGTGTAATCCATTGCGCCAAATATTTGTAAATAATGTGAACATCCATGGGAATTGCTATTCAATAGCTAGAGTCAAAGTCTGAGTCAGTCTTTGACCGAATTTGACTTACTCAGTCCAGTAACAGAAGCCAGCTCTTTTACAAAACAGAGGGACAATGTCCTTGATAATTAAGGAAACAGTTGAAAACAATCTCTGTTGTTTGTAAATTAATTCAGAGACAGCGGCGTACATACCGAGGTCGCAGGGGTTGCGGCTATGAGCCCCGAGGCTGGCCCTGGTGTCACTGGGTGGGCGGGCTGGTGGGCAGGCGCGTGCGCGAGGGAGCACTCTCCCCTGAGCGCTCTCTGCCCAGCTCCCGCGCGCGCTGCTTACTTATGCCGGAGCATGGCGTCAAATTCTGGCTCCGGCATCAGTAAGCGGCACGCCAGCCCGATGACACCACTGGACCCCAGGGAAGCCCCTCAGCACTCCCAAAAGGTAGGGAGGCTGGGGGATCAGATTTTTGTTTTTAAAAACATGTGTGTGTGTTAGTGTTAGTTTTTGTGTCAGTGTGTTTGTTACTGTGTGTGTTAGTTTGTGTGTGTCTGTTAGTGAGTCTGTTTGGTGTCAGTGAGTGTGTGTCAGTG